TAGTAAAATTAATACTTACTCAGATTCACATCGAAGCTAAAAATTTAGTATATGGGATTTAAAATTTGAATTTTTTACATTTTTGATTTGCTTTCAATAGCAAGAATGTTCTTTATTTTGTCATATTTTTAAAAAATGATCATTTAATAAATTAATAATGTGTAATCTCATTTAATAATAATAGAATATATTTGGGTATTATGACTTATATGCACTTTAAATATGATTTGTATTTTATTTTAAATTATATAATTACCTTAGGATCAATCCATGTCAAATATTCCAGAAGTGGTTGCACGGCGACCACATGTTTTTCTTGAATTTTAAGGTTTATTCTTTATGCTATAGTTAGATTAAAATAATTTTTATGGCCATTTCAATGTAAAAAATGTTAAAAATAGCCACTACGTTAAAAAACACACAGATTATTCAATATTAACGTAATCGAATTAAAATTTTATAATTTACCTTATTATAACTTAAATTTAACATTAAAAAAAAAAAAATTATGTGAAATTTCAAACCTTAATGACTTTCTGAACATGGTCTAAAAGTACAACAAAATGAAAAAACATAATACGAGATTTAAATTGTATAAAATTATTCTCGGCACTAGGGATAAACACAGATTTTTACCAATTAATAACAGTACCATATTTCCTAAACACTAAGTAAACCTTAAGATATCATTAACTGATATTTATGAAGACACAATATTTGTTGCGGCGAGTTATATGTGGCCGCGTTCAACTTCCAACCCAAATGAAACCTGTTACACATAATAGTAGGGAAGCCGTTCGCTGTCCGGTAATAGTCGTCGTCTTATCTAGTCTGTTGTAACCTAATATGTACACCTATTGATATTAGTGGCGTCTCGTGGCTTGAATGACGGGACGATCACACGCCCACTAAAATTAATTAAAAAAAGAGAATTAATTGTATATTCTTAATTCTACATTATTATTAAAAATGAAAATTTTTAAATAGTAAAATAGCCGTGGGAACTTTGTGCCATATTTTTTTTATATTGAGCGCCTAACGCTTTTTTTCACAATAATACTAATATTTTTCGTTAATTATTGTTTTAAGCTTATTTTAAAAATTATTTTTCACTTTTTAGTTCGATATGCTTTAAAAGTGTGTTTTTCAGTTTTTTTAACTATATTTTAGCACAATGATGATAATAAAATAATTATATCAAAACCAGATACTGTACCTTTAGCAATAAATAAAATATTTACTCAATTATAAATAAGAATTATATATTAAAACAAAATTAAATTTATTATACGATTTTATTGCTATTTTAAAAATACTTTAAAATGACGTTTTTTAACACTAAAACAACATAATATTATTATAAAATAAATAGAATTTCAATAATTCTATCATTTGAACGATTTTACTTATCAGTTTTATTCGAAAACTTCAATTTATTGAACTAATAATGTGTTTCTACTATTTCATTATGATATATCTAGCGAGTAATTTATCAAACGCAATTCTTTTCAATGGCCCACCTTTGGACAAGGTAAAACTATATTATATATTTTTTTATAAAAGTTTATTTTTAAATTTTTTCTAATTAGAAAATTCTTTTTGAGGATTATTTAAATGTTTATTAAAAAGTAGATTATTTTTTATTTTATCTTAAATAGATATACCATTTTTACACAATGCATCAAATTTAATTCAAATTTGATTTAAGAATAAAAAAAATCTGCTATAGTTTTATTCGAGGATCAATATCTAATGAAAATGAGATATTGAATTATTGATTCGATAATTAAAATGTAGTTCCCACTTTAATTTAAAACTATTGTTATCATATAAAATACTAAAAATATTAGCGGGTTTTTATTTTTTTTTTGTTATAATTTAAAATTACAAAATAAAAATAGATAAATGGTTGTGATTGTAAGATGTATGAGTTGGTGGTTCGAGGGTTTAGAACAACGAAGACGAGTAGATATAAATATAATAAATGCAAATCGTCTTTGCTGAGGTGTAATAAAGTATAGTTTGGTTGATATCTAATAATATGTAACGTGACTATGTACAAGACCTTAACCAACCCGTCTAATATAATATTCTACATGGGATCAATCCATGCCAAATCATCCAGAAGTGGTTGCACGACCACCTCATATTTTTCTTAAATTTTCAGGGTTTATTATTTACTATATACTGGTATGCTATAACTAGATTAAAACAATTTTTTTTTTTTTTTAAGACCTTCCGATTTTTATGGCTATTTTAATGTAAAAAATGTTAAAATAGCCAGAACGTTAAAAAACACAGATTATTCAATATTAACACAATCGAATCAAAATTTTAGGATTGACATAATTATAACTTAAATTTAACATTAAAAAAAAAAACAAAAAATTTATGTGAAATTTCAAACTTTAATGACTTTCTAAAAATGGTGCTTTTTTTGAGAAAATTGACGTTTTTGAGATCACTTAAAACCATTAAGATGTTATTATTTTTTAGTGATTTTTAAATGTGGTATTGTATAGTGTATAATCTATGTTTCAACTAAATTTCAAATATTTAAAACCATTTTATTGGGATTTAGAGGCCTACAAAGTTAGAAATTTTATAAAAAGACACGTATTCTAGGTGCATTATCTCTGTTGGAGAANAGAAATTTTATAAAAAGACACATATTCTAGGTGCATTATCTCTGTTGGGGGACCTAATTTCAAAAATTTTTTTTTTTAATTTTTTAGTTATATATCTGCTTAATACACCATAAAAATTTGAAGTTTGAGAAAAAAGTTTATCATGTAAAATTTAGCATTAGAAAATCAGTAAAAATCCGTTCAAAATCATGTAATATATTACAATACAATTTAACTATTATATATATATTATAATTATTTAATTCATTATTTTGGATACAAAATAAAAAATAAATAATTTTGGTTTTATTCTTTGTAGTTAGAATATTGTATCTTCATAAATATCAGTTAATGATGTCTTAAAACTTCTTATGGTATTGGTATTAATTGGTACAATTATGTGTTTTTCTCTAGTACCGAGAATAGTTTTACACTATTTAAATCGCATATTAAGTTTTTTTTATTCTGTTGTACTTCTATAGTGGGTACATAAATGTATTTTATACCTTTAATTTTTTCATCGCAAAATTGGAGCATATCAATTGGCGTTAATATTTGGTTTGAACCAACTCGCTGCAAGCTAGATTTTGATACTTCTCTTATTGTTGTTCCACCAACTCCATCACTGGCGTTTTTGCCATGAAACGAAGCAAAAAAATGCCATTCTGCATCAAAACCAAAGTCGTCAATATGATAACACAGATTAATAAAGTTTTTTTATTTTTGTATTGACTTGAAGCATCGTCACTAAATTAATGAATTTTTTTTTACAAATGGAGCTGTTAATCAAATGTCTTGTATAAGGTGATTTTGAAATGTATGTAGAGCAACGGTATTATGTTTAATGTGATCACTAATTATGCATATACATCGACACTTAATTATATTTTATATTTTATAATAATAAACAAAGGGATGAAGAGTGGCTTGTTTATTAACTCAGTGGTAGCTTTGTATTTCATCCTGTACAAAGAAATTATAATTTTCTGAAAAATCTGCCAGAGCAATACACTCATTGAGTTCTAAAGTTTCTTATTTTAGTTTTAAAAAATTTGATTGGATCTTAGAAATAAAATGGTGTTTTTTTAGTTTAATAATTTTATCAATTAAAGTTTCAATAAAATCTTCTATACATTCTATATTTGTTACTAATTCTTCCCGATCAGTACTTACCCATTGTTTAAAAACAATGTTTTCTGGCCCGTCATCAAGCTCTTTAGAAATAGTTTCTTTTAAGTATTCATAGTTATTCAGACAAATGGAACATTCACTCATCATAGAAAAATAATTATCCATATCACAAACTATTGATTTAAGCAAGTATACAAAATCGTATTTTAATGAAGCTCCGTCAATCATAAGTTTAACATTTTGATGGTAAACACATACACACACAGTATGAGTACCTGAAGCACCAGCTAAAACACACCATTTTGGTTTGAACTCGTATAATTTTGACCGCCCAATTTTAACGTTAGGATTTTTACTTATAAATTCAACAAATAATTCATTTAAATTACATATAAGCATAGTTGTAAAAAATACTTTTAAAAAGTATTTTAAATAATATTCAAATATTTAAAAAAAAATGTATTTAAAATACTATTTGAATACTTTTCATACAAAAGTATTTGAGTAATACTCAATTACTTTACAAAAGTATTTCAAATACTAAGAATACAATTAAAAAATAATAATAATGTTTTTATTTTAACTAAGAGCAAAAGGTTCCACCTAAATAATTACCAAGAGGGTAATTTGAGTCAAATATTGAGTACTCTTAAATTAAGAGAA